TGTGTGTGTGTGTGTGTGTGTGGGGGGGGGGGAGTTTAGCATTAAGATGTGAATTGAGTTGGGGTTAGTTTTAGGATCAGGCACCTGCCTGACCTGTGAGGTTAAGGTTAGGGTTGGTGGTCAGGGTCAGGCTGTAGAAAGTAATGGAAGTCAATGCCAGGTCCCCATAAAGATAGCTGCACCAGATTGTGGGTGTGCATGTGTGTGTGTTTGAGTTAGTGTAGTCCAAATAGAATGGGCTAAGCCCAGGCTTTAGAAATAATACTATAAGAATAGTATCATGTCATTGGTTCTTCCTTCAATCTTTATTTAAATAGTATGTACACAGGTATAACAATCAAACAAAAAAGTAAACTAATTCATGTAAACAAATATTTGTAAAAGAACAATGTAATAGTAAAATACAGTATTTATAGCTTTTAGGTTTGATAGTTCTTGTAGTGTCACAAAGTAAAGCTTTATCTCAGCCCTCAATTAAGTTGTGTTGGGTTTACCAATTAATATTAGTTACTCACGCGTCCAGCCAATCACAACGTGATACGTCATCATTAAGCGCAGGTCCCCACCTCCAAGCCGTTCAGGCCAAGCCGATCTGGAAGCTCCGCCGCTTCAAAGGTCCACATTTGCTCGGGAGGAATGCGGTAGGCGGGGCCGCTGAGGCTGGTGTCAAACTTTGGGAATGACAGGAGTGCTGCAGGATCCGCAAAGAAGGGGAAGTGTCGCCCTCGCCGGCTGTGTTTGGATTACTTTGACTTGTTCTCCGGATTCACCGCCTCGCCGCAGATAGTTCCAAACCTCAGCGGACTCTTCAGCCAACATCGTCACCGTCATGTCGGAGGACCTGAGCTCCCAACCCTGGTCCATCAATAGGGATGATTATGTGCTACATGAGGTGATTGGTATGTCATCACGATTAGCTTGTTAGCACTTTGTTCACCGGCACTTAGTAGGTTTCTTGCCACTGAGCTTTCTTAAAAAAGCAGAGCGAACGCAGCTGTCAGGTGAAAAGACGAACGGTTCTCCCGGCTTGATTTAATTTAAAGGCGTTTTAACTCGAAGGCAGCCTGCTATCAGTGAAGCCGTTCACTGGTGAAACACCTAGGCTGTAAAACATCTGAACAATGTTGCCAGGCTCGGACTATTTGCTGGAGAGGAGCTGCTTTTCGTTCTGCCGCGCGACGTATTCCTCCCCAACATCCTCAAAACTTGTTTTTCAAACAGTTTTTGGTGTTCTAATCGGAACCTTATCCACAGAGTGTGTACACAACGAGTCAAAAGTTGTCATTTTTGGAGAAGACACTGCGTTAAAACAGCTTCAGTATCAGTTGTGTCGTTGCTGCTGCCAGATAAGACAGAGAAACAAACGTGTTCACGCCCATCTTCTGTTAAAAAGGAAAACATCTACCTTTTTAATTAGTTATTTTAAGAACGAACCAAAAGCCAGACTGACTAAATAACTTACCAACTAACTAACTAAATAAATAAATAAACAAATAAATAAATAAATGCGCCTTGTAGTACAAGTTCTTCCTGGAAAAGCCCTACCCACAAAGAAAGCGATTGGTATTAAAATATAGTGTTAACATGAAAACAAAAGTGCTGTCATATACATTAGAGATTATTTTGCTGTTTTTAACTGAAGCTTAATATAGTAGCTGCTGAATGCAGAACTATTTATGTATACCTAAAAGTCCTGTAACATCAGATTCATTAACCAGCTGACAAATAAAGGTGTGTACAGATTTTTCTCTTTAAAATAAGTGTAGTGACTGAGTCATATTGTTGAGTCATATTGTCATGACAGAGCCCAGAAGTTGTTTTATTTATGAATCAATTCATTTAAGATTTGAATTATTATTATTATTATTATTATTATTATTATTATTATTATTATGAAGACTTTTTTTTCTTCAGTTGTATCTCAAGCTTTTATTTTGTCCAGTTTGTCATTTGCCTACAGCTAGGTTGATGCTTTAATCAACCCTCGTGCATCCTTTTTGTCCACTGCTGTCCAGCCAAAACAAAGGGTCTGAGGATGGCCCACCTGAGAAATGTCACTCATGACTTGTGCACCTCTGAAACCCTTCAAAAAGCCGACCTTTCCTACCTTCGTCTGACAGGAGGAGGATAGCAAGTGTAACACATAAGTAAAGTATTGTTCTCTCAAGTTAGCCACTTTATGTCTTCTTTGGTTTACTTTAGGCGATGTGTGCTTCCTCTGCAGGGAGGGTTTATAGAGGGTTCGTTTTACAAGTCGTGTATCAGCTCTTTTTCTGCAAATGAAAAGCTCAGCTTCTAAATTTTATCCGGAGGCCCCCCCCCCACCCCCCACCCCCTCAATATAACGCCCTGCGATATAAATTGCATTCAGAAATAAAGCCTCGCTTGTATAGAAACCAGTTCTGTGGCATCTCCCTATGCCAGCTTTAGCACAAATTACCCCTCGAAAGTTTGAAACCACTCAGGCCTTTACATTCTTAAACTGGAGCATGCTGACTTCTTTTTGTTTTGTTTTATTTTATTTTATAAGAGTTTAAAATCCAAGAATAATTATTTGAGTCATTGAGTGGTGCAGTTAGTTTGATTTAAATCTAGATTTTTTTTGCAGATTAGAACTTGGGCTGTTTAAATGCAGAGGAGGTGGTTTTTCTTCTACGTCATCTAAACAAGCACACCGCTCTGTTAGAGGCTGTGAACACGTTGGCTCCAGTGCTGTGTGGAGCTTTCTCAGGAGTTCAACTGAGAGGCTGCAGTTTTTACTTTTCAGACCAACTGCTTAAAGAGCACAGATGTAACATTTTAAACCTGGTTTAATACTTATATATTAAAATGACTGTACTTATAAAGTTTTCTAATGCAATGTTTTGAAATTAATTGTATTGTACAATATAACCACTTAATGCGAAAGTTATAGAGTTTATCTCTTAATTTTTGCAGACGTATTTACATGTTTTGGTTACTCGATGCAATTCAAAAGCTGCATTAAGGGTTTGAAGGTTGAGCGAAGAATAAGAACAAAGTTAGTCATTTCTAGCTGAAACTACTCTTTCATTTCTAGTTTCCTAAAAAGCTTAAATTTATTTATTTATTTACTTACTTACTTACTTACTTACCTACTTACTTACTTACCTACTTACTTACT